AGGAGATTTCCCATAGCACAGATGACGCATGGATGGCCAAGACCAATAACCTACATGAGGACACAGAGCAAAGCCTTGACCCCTATCACCTCCTGAAAGTGGGTTCAGAGGTGAATAGAAGGTGTAAGAGACGCTGATGCAGGGGAGGGGACACGGGACCAGGGAAGGATCCCCATGAGCAGAGGGAGGTGGGCTGGCAGGCAGCATGATGGGGGGTTCCTCCTTGCATGGGGTTCCCAGGGCTTCTCCTCCTTCCCAGAGACTTGTAGGCAGCTGAGCCCAGTTCTTCACCCCGGGGAAGGGAAGGGAAGGGAAGGGAAGGGAAGGGAAGGGAAGGGAAGGGAAGGGAAGGGAAGGGAAGGGAAGGGAAGGGAAGGGAAGGGGGCAGCTGTGGAGGATGAATGCTTGGGGAGTGCTCACCTCCAGTAGCCTGCGCTCCCATCCCCTTTTCTTTAATGATGTTTTATCATTATCTAGGAAAGAAGAGCGCAGGGAACCCCTCAACCCAAGGTCAGAAGGGCCAGGCCAGGCCAGGAGCCCACACAAGGAGTAGCCCAGGCCTGCCTTTCCATCACCTCATCCCATCCTCTTCAGAAACCCCACACACAACTATGTGCCCACTTGGCTGCATCGATGAGCCCTTCCCAAAGGTCAGATGGACACAATGGTGCAGCCTTTCAAATGGTCAGTGTCAGATAAAGGGCTCAAGGATGCAAACCTGGGCCTCTTGGGTTGCTAAATCCTGCTTGCCCACCCAGAAGAGTTCCAGCAGTCCTCCTGAGAACTTGCCCCACAACTGTTCAGTGTAAAGTAAGGAAATGGCTGATTGAAGGAGACCCATGCACTCGGCCTCTTGGGGACACAGGGCTGGCCCCCATTCTCTTCTCACCACAAGTCCCTCCTACTCCTCAGGTCTCATCTCCCGGAATCTGCCCTTGGCCCCCTGCTCCTCCTCCCAACCCAAGCCTCACCACTCAGGATCTTCAGCAGATCAGGGAGCTCCTTCCTGCAGGACTGGCAAAACCCACATTGGATAGCAGGACCCAGCAAGCGGACAGGCTGCAGCTCCTGTAGAGACTTGTCATGAGCCACCAGGGGCCACCTGCTCCATTGCCTTGTGCCCCCTCAGACCCCAGGGCCAGTGGGGGGCTGGAACCCCTCCAGGTGGGAGGATCCTGAGGTGGGGTCTGAGCGTTTGCAGGCTGAGCCCTCTGCCCTCATCCGCTGTGTCCCCCGACAACCCCCCCACCTACAGTGGGTGGGGTACACCATCCAATGCTATGGTGGAAATGGTGGGGATGGGGTGTTGCACTCTGGGTTGTTTCATTTTGAGATGGGGCGGGGGGTGCCCTTTCTGGACCCTGCCTTTCAGAAGAGCCTGCACCTCCAGTTTCCAGCCCCCCACTGGGGCTCAAACCAGCTCACATGATCCCCCAGACAATATCCTGCCCCTCGACTCTGCACTGGACCCTCCTCCCGGCAGCTGGAGGCCACACAGCAGAGCATGCAGCTGCCTCAGTTAGGAGCAGCCAGCGTGTCTTGCCCTGGGCAGGATAGAACTTGAGGGACGAGGGGTGAAGGTGGGGGGAGGAACGGTCTGCTTCTCAGGGTCAAGCTGTACGTCCACATCCACATTTATTTGGAGGGTGGGGTTGAGAGGCACACGCGGAAGTATTTGGGAGGTAGCCCTGGCTCTGCACTCAGAGATCACCTCTGGCAGTGCCCAGGGAACCATTTGGGGTGCCAGAGTGGGGCCTGTTGGAGTGTGCATCTAATCAACTCAAATTAAGTACCTTAATTCCCAGCCCCTTAGTTTCTGCGCAGGTGTTGGTCATACCCAGAGTTTTAAGTGCCCAGTAGGCTACAATAGCCTTTCAGTCCCCTACTGCCCACGTGGACACTGGCCATGAGAAAAGGAAGGACTCGGTGGCCTTCCCTGAGTGCTGTTAGCTCTGTGGTCTGCCCCAGGAGCTTCCACTCACCAGAAGCATCACTGGGTGTGCTTGGCAAGCTCCACCCCGGAGGAGCCACCTGGCCGTCGTCTGCTTCCCGGAGTCCACTGCCCATGGGAAGGTGTAGTGCTCCTGGATGACTCCTGGTTCTGTGCTCAGGGATCACTCCTGATGGAACTCGGGGGACCATACAGGGTTCCAGGAATTGAATTGGGGTTGGCAGCATGTTGGGCAAGCAGGCACACTGCCCTACCCACTGTTCTCGCTCTCCAGCCGCCTTGTCTCCCTCAGCTGCCTGGGACACGGGCCACATTCTCTATAGCCTGTGTGCTGTGGTGTCCGGGGGGCTGGTGTCATCCCCTCCTGTGGGAACCAGCACCAGGTCCACGCCTGCTGGCAGAAGAGTGGCCGGTTGGGCCGAGGAGCTGCCAGGAAAAGGTGAGCAGCCACAGTCCCCGCCACACACGTGTGAACACAGCACCCCGCGGCTCCAGAGAGGTCTTGGGCCTACCACACTAGACTGTCGGACCTCAGGTACAGGGGCTCCTGCCGCCCCCAGGCTGCATCTGGTCCTCACCCACTTCCTCGGAACCAGCTTCCTTTTCCCTGCCTGCCTCTCCTCTTCTTCTTTCTAGCTAAAACCAGCAGACTGAGACCTTTCCCTCTTTCCTGGGAACGAGGAACGTTCCCCATGCCCAGCCCGAGCCCACAGGGCTCTTCCTGGATGGGGACTTTGTTCCTTCAAGCAGCACCCTGGCCCTGGGAGGGAGCCTCTTGCGAGGTCCGGCCACAGGCCCCCCACCCTGAAGCCATGCCACACCCCTCGTCAGCTCTCCCTGGCCTCCTCTCCCGGTCCTGCCTCCCATCCCTCTCAGCCACTTAAGCAGCCTCCAGACACCTGCTCTGACATGGGCAGTTGCACCGAGGGCCATTAGGCACGCCGCGTGACCTTTTATAGAAACCCTGTATCTGTCGCCCATTTTTGTTTCCTGTGTGAAAATTCCCCCCTCCAATCAGCAGCGGCTGCCCCTGCTGACCCTGACTGCCCTCCCCTGCTCACCTTGACCCCAGGGGAAGAGGAGCAGGATGCCTGGAGGACAAGGTGGCATGTCTGCACTCTGCACTTCATTCAAAGCGCACTGCTAAGGGTCGAGGCTGTGTTCTTGCCATTTATTAATCTGCAATGGGTCTTCAAGTCTCCTCGGGGACGTGTGGCGACAGAGCCATGGCCTCCTCCCCACCCCACGCTGTCAGCCCGAGCTCCTCGAAGGTCAGGCCCGGGACAGTTCTCTGCAGTCCCTCCCGGGACACAGGGGCCGAGGGGTCCGGCAGGCACAGTCGCCGTGTTGGCTGTCGGCCCCTCGAGAGGGCACTAGCCTGAGCCTGGGTGTGGGGTACCAGAGTGGGTTTCCCAGTCACCCTCATCCTCCTCTCCCTCTCCTAGGGGCAGCCGTGCGGGTGGCAGAGGCAGGATGGAGTCTGACATTCGGGCGAAGGCTCCGCCTGGCCCCTCGCTGGCCCCTGCCCCAGGTCCTTTCCCGGAAATACCTGGGAGGGAAAAGGGGGAGGGGGAGGGGGGAGGGGGCTGGTTGGGGGCCCCGCTTCCCCCAGCCGCTAGAGACAGAAAAACATGAAGTGCAGGACAGGGTGGGCCCCACACTGCCTCACGCTGCCTCTGACCTTTGCGCCTCATGGCCAGCTCGTTGAAGAGATCTGACATCAGGTCCCCGCCGTGGCTGGTGGCCCTCGCTGCAACAGGAACACCGGAACACCATGACAAGTCAGGGGTTGGCACCAGGTACCAGGCACCCTATGCGTGTCGCTCAGCTTTCCTCAGGGCCCGACCCGCTTTCTCTGCTCACAGGGCTCGCTCCCCCGGGCTCCTGGAGCTTCGGTCTGGCCTGGGTTCAGCTCTAGGGCACTCACCTGAAATGTGACTCTCCTGGCTCTATCATAGCCCTCCATGTGCCAAAAGGGCAAGTCGAGCTGTCCCCTGCCTGGGCACAAAACTAGCCCCAGGAGGGGTTCCCGTGCAGAGCTCATGGGGTTCTGGGGTTTGGGCCTGTGGCTGCAGCTCTGTGCCCAGGGCTGACCAATAGGTCTGGGAGTTGCAGTGCACAGGAGCTGTGGCCGCAAGCAGCTGTGAGAAGCCGCTGGAGCTAACCTCTGTGTCCGTCTCAAACAGAACATCTGGGGCTGGAGCGATAGTACAGTGGGGAGGGCATTTGCCTGGCATGCAGTCAACCCAGGTTCGATTCCCCGCATCCCATAGCACCGCCCCCAGCACCGCCAGGAGCAATTCCTGAGTGCAAAGCCAGGAGTAAACCCTGAGCATCACCAGGTGTGACCCAAAAAGCAAAAAAAAAAAAAAGAACATTTTCTATTCGATATGCCAGACACAGTAACAACAAAGTCTCCAATGGAGACGTTACTGGGCCCGCTCGAGCAAATCGACGATCAACGGGAGGGCCTTTACCTTTTACCTTTACCTATTCTCTCATCTTTTGATGAGGCTGTCTCCTACCAGCTCAGAGAGGCAAGTTCAGCTAAGCAAGTGCCAAAAATGAGATCAGGTAGGAGGACGTGGGGGGTGAAGGGGGGGCCCCAGGGCTTAGACTCACCGCAGAGGGGCACTGACCACTGACCCGCGGGGACAGCAGGAGGCTGGGACAGGAGACACCCTTCCCTCCTCCCCCCAGCACCCCCACGAGCTGCCTCAGCGTCTCCTCCCCTTGTTCCTGCTCTTTCTGCTTCTTCTTCTCCAGCTTGCGCTCCTTGACGCTGTGCAGCTTGGCCCTGCCGATGCCCCCAGCCTGGCGGATGGACTCGAGCAGAGTGGCCCGGCCACTAGACGGGTCCATGACTTCCTTGGGGGCTCCCTGGACTGGCGCTGGGGTAGGCAAGGGTGTGAGGAAGAGAAGTGGCCTGGGCAGGGGCTTGGCTGGGGGGCAGCGCTGCCCAGCCTCGCTGGGGTGCTGGGGTGAGGGAGCTGGTACTTGGGGACCTGGGTGCTAGCTGTGTCCTCTGTGTCCCGAACTGGGGGAGGTGTCACCCTGCAGAGGCGACCAGGTACTGCCAGTGCCAGAGGTGCCCCCGAGACAGGTGTGCCCTCTGGGTGCGGGAGCTGTGCTTCCGCTGTTCAGGAAGCTCCTTTCCCTGCTGGGTATACCGGAAGGGGGGACCCCCCTGGAGTCCTGCAGGAGTCAGGGTTGTACCCGTGGGGCTCTACCATCCCTTCTGAGGATTCCAGTGGAACAAGATGTTTGGACTCAGCACTGCTCCCAAGACCGGGAGCGAAAGGCCACTTAGCAGGCCAGGAGAGGCCTTCCCGGAGCCAGAAAGTAGACAGAGGGGCGGGCGGGAGAGCCGAGGGCCGCTGCCCCTACCTACCTGGGGCCCCGCGCTGCCTGCGTCCTCCGGGGCGGCCTCCTGGGGGGGCAGCGGCGGCGGGGGTGGGGGGGCACTGACCAGCACGGCCGGGGCCAGCGGTGGTGGAGGTGGCGGCGGCACTGCAAGAACGCCACCATCTAGGTCTGAAACAGAAAGGCAGAAAGGCCAGGGTGCCCGGGAAGGGGGCAGGGGGCGCCCAGGAGACCGTCCCCGCCCGGACCCTGGCTCACCGGGCTTGGCGGGCGCTACCAGCTCCATGGCGAAGGTGGACAGCTCGGGGATGGTGCCCGGCGCCGACGGCGCGATGCCCGGGCCCAGGTCGGCACTGTAGGTGAGGCCGTCGGCCATGCCCGGCAGGTCGGGCAGGCAGGACGGCACGTTGATCTCGGGCACCTGGCCCAGGTCGGGCACGTAGAAGTAGCTCTCGCGGGCCTGCGGGGGGAGGGCCAGCTGTGAGCAGCGCCCTGGGCCGTCCCCCACCCACCACCCACAGCTCGCTGCCCACCTGCCGCTCCAGCTGCTCCCTCTTGCTGATGGAGAGTGGCGCGTCGAACGGCTTCTCCTCCGGCTCGGTGCCCAGCGACACGTGGGTCCTGGTGACCGCGCCGGCCAGGGGGTCCAGGAAGACGTACTTTTTGTACCTGTGGAGGAGGGTGCCAGGCTCAACCTGCGGAGGCCCGTGGCCCTGACCCCCCTGTGCTGTTCCAGGAGCGCCCCCGAGTTGGTGTATGGATTCCCAAAGCACAGACTTCCGAAGCCCCCCACAGGGCTAAGCAACCAATGGGGACCCTGCAGGGGAGCCCCAGCCCCCCCCCCCCCGACCAGATGTACAGGTTTTCGGTGGTGTTGAACAGCAGCAGGGAGCTGACTGAGCTGATGTTGCTGGGAAGACCCCCCAGGTCCTCCTCGGTCTCATCCTCGGGTTCCAGCCTGGTGGTCACACACACGAGGAAGTATTTCAGCTTCTCCTGGAGGGGGGAACAGAGGGATGCTGCATTCTGCATTAGGTCCAGCAACCTCCATCCCGTCCCAGTCCATGCTCAGGGGGGCTGGAATCCTAACCTGGGGGCCACTGGGCACAGTAGCCCGCGAGAGCTGAGTGCCCACAGACCTGCAGGGCCTGCTCGTCCAGGGGCCGGTGCTTGCTCAGGATCCTGTGGCGGGGGCATCTCTGCAGGCCGGAGTCCTGGGCCCCCGTGAAGATGGAGCCATACTCCCGCAGGTGCTCCGGAGCTGGGTAATTGGCACTGGAGAACACCTGCAGGCACGGGGGAACCTGAGTCCCGTGGTCCAGGAGCCTGAGACAGCCCAGTGGGCCAAGGACTGGCTGCAGAGAAGTCTGGGCCGGAGGGAGCCCTGGGGAGGGGCCGGTCAGCAAAGGCAGGGGGCAGGCGAGTTCCATAGCACAGGAATGTGGGCAGGGCAGACTCTGAGCCAGAGTGAAGGCCACCAGGCCAAACGCCTACCTTAATGGCCTTCTTACTGCCTTTGATCTTCTCTATCTTGGCCTGGGCCAAGGAGACCCTTTCCCCAATGGCCTGAAGCTGGCTCCGGCTCTGCTCCACACGCTGGGAGATCCTGCATAGAGAGAAAGGCCACAGGCTGGGGACTGCCCCACCCCCACCCCGTGCTGCTAACAGGGGGCTGCCCAGCAGACTCCAGAACCGCCTAGTAGCCTTGACCGGGTTGATCCATGGCACGGTGCAGGAATGATATTTAGTCAACTCCTGTGAGCTGGAAACATGGTCAGCCACTCTCGTCCCAAGTGTCATTGGACGTGCCCATCCACAGGAACAGGGTTCCTATGACCCCAAGCTCACCCTCAAGCAGAGAGAGAATTGCCAGTACTTCCCCAGACAGATTCGTCTGTTTGCCAGTGGGAAAACCGGAGCTGGGCCGGGCCAGGTGACCTGCAATGCCGGGCCCAAAGCCAAATCCTGTGAGCACTGCCCCAGTGCACGGGAAAGGCTCGTGTGGGGAAAGCTGAAGTCCTCCCTGGGGCCCTCCATGGCTAGATGCCTCACCAGCTTCCTTGCCCACCCCCCTGGTCACTGGGATCCAGGGACCCCCCACTGTCCTCAGAAGGCGACATCTGCGTTCTTGGCTTGAGCGTCAAAGACATGCAAGCCCCCCAGACATCTGCAGAACCCTTCTTCGCTGAGCCCCTCCTGTCTGCGGGAAGAACATGCACCTGCACTTCCCGCCCTGTCCCCTTTCGTCCTGTGGGTCACATGATCACATGACCACGCGTCTCTCAGGCCCAGCAGCTCCAGTGTGGTTTTTGTGGGATTTGTTTCTTATTTCGGGGATTGGAGGCCATACCCAGTGATGCACTGCACTCAGGAATTACGCCTGGTGGCACTCGGGGGACCACATGGAATGCTGGGGACGGACCCCAGGCCCAGCGTCCTGCCCGCTGGGCTCTTTCTCTAGCTTGGTTCTGCTCCCACCTGTACTGCCAGGGCATGCTGCAGAGCCTGGTGCTTCTGGGGGTGGGGGAGCTGCGCTTACGGGACGACAGTGACTGGTCCCCGCATCCGCGCATCTGAGCGCATTCTCCCAGCCACTCCAACCCCAGCGCCAACGACCCCATGCCCAGGGCCTTTCAGCTCTGCGTTCCTGTGGCGTACGCCTGTGCACAAGGGAAGCCAAATGGAATGTCAAGTTCAAGGGGAAAGGGACGGGATGGGGGAATTTCGGTCAAAGGGGTCATGATATTTAGGGGGCTGGAGAATACAGGGTCTGGGACTAGGGTTTCCTTAAAGGGCAAAACGAGGGGGAGAGAGCTTAAAGTGCTAATGTGCATGCTTTGTATACAGGAGGCCCGGGTTTGGTCACTAGCACTGCATGACGCCACCCCCACGCCCAAAGTATGGCTGGGAGAGACCTCTGAGTGCACCATGAGGAGCAGCCCCTGGGTGCTGCCTGTGTGACAACCCACAAGAACAACCAAGGTCGGAATGGTCAGTCAACACTATGGCACAACCTCCCCAAACTACCCGCACCCCCCAGACATTCCCAACCAGTCAATCTCCCAGCCCTGGGGTTTCACTCCCAATCACTTCCTGCTTCCACACAAGGCATGGGGCTCCATGAGGTGGGGTTGGCCTGCAAAGCAGCTGGAATCTCCTGGACACATGGACCTGGGTGGGGCCACTGCAAAGAAGGGACTGTTTCCCACCTCTGCGAGAATACAGCCCCCACATGAGAAGCACCACCTTTTCAGCAAGAAGAGGGGGTTGTAAACCGCCGTGTGTGTATGGGGGGTGGGGGGCGTGAGTGCAACCAGATTCTTCCAGTCCCAACCAGCCACATTGCAACCCCCAGCAACCTCCAGGCAGTACCCATGCCCCGGAAACAGGTACAGACTGGAGGGGATGAGGACGGGACCAGACACAGGCCAGTTTTCCATCAGGAAGTGGAAAGCTGATCTCTCCAAACTACATACATTCATACTGACGCATTCCAAACGGGATCATTAAATAGAGGGTCCGTGGGCTCTTGGAAAACAACAGAGGCAGGGGGCTTGAGCAACAGCACAGCAGATAGGGCATTTGCCTTGCACGTGGCCAAGCCGGGTTCGATTCCCAGCATCCTATAGGGTCCACCGAGCACTGCCAGGAGTAATTCCTGAGTGCAGAGCCAGAAGTAACCCTTGTGCATTGCCGGGTGTGACCCAAAAAGCAAACAAACAAACAAAAAACACAGAGGCAGCTCCCTGGGGCCAGCACTGTTCTAAATTCACAGAGTTTCTTGTTTTCTTTCTTTGTTTCTTTCTTTGTTTCTTTGTTTGTTTCTTTCTTTCTTTCTTTCTTTCTTGCCTTGGACAGAGTTATTAGAAGGGTCTAGCAGGGGAAAATCTTAAATATTGTGCTGACTTAAGTCAGCAAGGATTCTGACGGCTTCTCACAAAACCCTCTGCACAAGCTGGAGCAAGGGAGCTTGGAAGGAAGAGTCTGTTTAGGAAAAATCCAAGTCAGGTGAACAGCAGCACACACACCGAGCTGCGGAAGACTGGATTGAGTCCAGCTCTGCGGGAAGGTTCCTGGCATGGCCCCATGCAGCAACTTTAACACTTGATTAGAAAACTTGAGAGACTAGGGGAGAGAGCATGGTAGCCAAAGATAAGTCTGTGAGGGATCAGGATCCAATGTTGAGAGGTCAGAAAAATGAACTGCCCTCCACAAGCTGGAGTTGGCAAGGAATGAATGTGACGCCCAGCATTTAGAGTTTAAAAAGTCAAACGTGGGTTTGGAGAGAGAGCACAGCAGGAGAAGCACTTGCCTCCCATGTGGCCAACCCAGGTTTAATCCCTGGCAAGTCCCCCAAGCCCTTCCAGTGGTGATCCTTGAGCACAGAGCAAGGAGTAAGCCCTGAACACTGCTACATGTGTCCCCCAAACAAAACCAAAAAATTAGAAATCAATATATGAAAAGTTGAGCTGGAGCGACAACACAGAGGTTAGTGCATTTGTCTTGCATGCAGCTGACCCAGATTCAATTTCTCCGTCCCTCTTGGAGAGGAAGCTACTGAGAGTACCCCGCCCTCACGGCTGAGCCTGGCAAGTGGCCGTGGCGTACTCGATATACCAAACACAGTAACAATAAGTCTCACAATGGAGACGGTACCGGTGCCTGCTTGAGCAAATCGATGAACAATGGGAGGACAGTGCTCCAGTGCTACATATGAAAAGTCAAACATGGGATGGGAGAGGCAGCTGCTGGTTCATCCCCTTGCCCCAGATCCTCTGGCAAAGAGCCCTGGCCCTTTCCACCCACCCTGGGTGGGCAGCTCTGCGAGGGTTTGGCTGGAAAGCAAAGGGCTTGGGGGGGGGGGGGGGCGCAGAGCAGAGGCGGAATCAGGTCGCACACCTGCACTCTGGGAGTTCCAGGGAGAGAGAGGTGTGACCTCCTTTCCCTTCAGAACTGGGCTGACATCTGTCCCTCGTGTGTGATGTGGAGTGTGCAGTGTGACTTTGCCTCCACTTCAACCAAAACACTGTTTCTAACTATAAGACCTCAGGGGAGAGAGGGGAAGGTTGGAACAGAGGGTGCTTAGTGGGGTCACGATCGAAACCAGGTCGGTGATGTACAAGGCAAGTGTCTCACCCACTACACCATCTCTCTGGCCCCTGGAGGCACCGATTTGATCCCCACCTACATATGTTTGTGGGAAAACCCTGAGCAGAGTCAGGAGTAGCCCCTGAGCACCACTGGGTGCGGTCCCAAACAAAATCACTGAGGGGACTGGCGTTCCCAGCACTCCAAGAGAGACAAGGCAAAGGGGAGCACTTCAAGGAAGGAGTGGGCAGCAGAGGCAGAGAAGAAAGTTCGGGCACAGGAAGTAAGCCCAGGGCAGGAGTAAGTGGAAGGGGAGCACAGAGCCACAGTGAACGGGGTGCCCGGCCTCCTAGGCCTACACTCACCAACTGGAAAGTTCCCCGAAGAATCCACGGGCCTACGACCCTCCCAAGCAGCAAGCCAGTCCCTTGGGGTCTCTGGGAGAGGAGCCCCATGCCCAGCCCTCACCCCACCCCACCTGGCCCGGCCCTGGGCCTGGCCGCTCTGCACCCGCAGGGTGGGTGGGAGTGATGTGCCAACTGTGCAGGCAGGCGCTGAGAGGGCCTCCGGCCTTGGTCCTGGGGCGGGGGGACGGGGGAGAGGAGGCAGGGAAGAAGGGAAAGGAGGGGAAGGGGAGAAGGAGAGAGGCGGGAGGGGGAGAGGGGAGCCAGGGCTGGCAGGTGGCTGGAAGGACACCCGCCCCGCCTGAATTCGCACCGCCGCCCGCTTGGCCCCATCATCGAAGTCATGTGAAGCAGGTGACAGTCTCAGGCAGATATTTTGGGGCCTGGCTTCTCCCAGGTGAAGTGGGGGCAGGGGGACGTACAAGGCGGGGAGGGTCAGGCCGAGGCTGGAAGGGAGGAGCTGGGCGGGGGGGGGGGGGGGCGGGCAAAGAGCCACAAGCACTGGTCCTGGGTTCCGCCGGAGGGGAGCACGGGCAAGGGCATGCGAACGCCCCCCCAGCTTGCCCCCTGCAGGAGTGGCACCGGCTGCTGTGGAACAGAGGAGCAGGCCGAGCCTCAGTGAGAAGGGCATGTGGGGGAGGGGAGGGGGACGCCAGGAACTCTCCTCCCCTCCCGTCTGTAAGCAGACCCTGGGGTGGCCTGCCAGCAGCAGAGCCTGACCCTGCAGGCCGAGGAGGCCACTGGCCCCGGGGCTGCGGGGTCCCTTCTCCATCGGCCTGGCTGCTCCCAATCTGTCACCAAGCCCTGTCACTGGTGCCCTGGCGATGTTCCCCAGCCCTCCCTACCAGCAGCCCCCTGGGACTGCGGCAGCCTCTCCCAGCCCTGCGGACAGTCCACTCTGAGACTGCCCCACGGGCCTGCCACACACGCTCCCGGCACCCCCCGGGGCTCCCAAGACACCCCAAGCACCATCCGGGGAGAAGTCCCCTGGGCTGCACGTGCCTGGTGCCAACGTCTCCCTCCCTGCCATGACTTGGGAGAGAAGCAGCCCGAGAGAGGCATGTCCGATCCCAGGGGGAGGCCTGCGCTCCCCAGGACCCCCCTGAACGTTGGCTTTTCACACACTGCTGCTCTGCAGTGAAACGTGAAGGCGCAGGGTCTGACCCCTCAGGGGCCCGGGGCACCATTTCCAGACCCTTGAGATGACCCAGCACCCACATTCCTTCCCGGCCGGGTCAGCACCTGGCTTCTGGTGGCCCAGTTTCTGCCCGCCCCCCCCCCCCCCCCCCGCCACCTTGTGGGACAGCATGTGGTTTTCAGCATAGCACCTACTTCCTCCTGTCAAGGAAGGTCACCCTCACCCTCTCCCCGGCCCACGCCCCCTTCGGGGGATGCAGCACCCACACACTCAGCCCTCGTGCTGAGGCGAGTATGGGTGAAGCAGGTAACCCTGGTCAGAGCAGGCGACTGTGGAACCAGGCGGGGTGGCAGATGGACCCTGGAGGAAGTGCTGCGGGGGAGGGGCGCTCACCCCAGGGGGTCTCTCCTCACATACACCCTTGCACCTAGAAGGAAGCAGGCTGGAGTGATAGCACAGCAGGGAGGGCATTTGCCTGTTGCCTACTGACCAAGTAAAAGAATGCTTGATTTTTCATTCCCCCTTTGTCCTGCTCAAAGCTGGGCAACTTCCCAGTACAGGAGGTTTCAGTTTGGGGAAAATGCACCCTCGTAAATGATTTGTAAATAATGTATGAGGAACAGCACAGTCTCTATGGATATGTCAAAACTGTGACAAAGCAGGCCGCTCCGACCGGTAGCATTAGGTCGAAAGGGTCACCAGGTGGCTGACCAACGTGCATGGCTCTGCTCATTGTCCCATCCACTTTCCCACGTCCCATCCCCCTTTCCACTCTTTTGGGTGGGCTGTGGAAACATACTTAAGTCTGTACCTATGCTCTGAATAAACACACGCATTCATGCCATCTCCCGAATGATGGAACCCTGTGTGACTCGAGTGCTGATTTCACCCTGACGGCCCTCCCCTAGCTCGGCCCCGCAGCGCCGGACGCGGCATTTGCCGACCTGGGTTTGATTCCCAGCATCCCATATGGTCCCCCAGCACCGCCAGGAGTGATTCCTGAGTGCAGAGCATCGCTGGGTGTGACCCAAAAAGAAAAAACAAACCAGGAGAAGAAGCAAGCAACACCCAGCAAGGCCCAGCCAGCTCTCCCTGAGGTCTCTGTCACCCTGAACCAGGCTGTGGGAGGATCTGACCGCCCCACCTGTGCCCCTCCAACCCGACTCCTCCCCAGGACCGTGCCCCCTGTGCTGTACCCCAAGCTCTGCTGGCCTCGACTCCCAGGAGAGGCCCCCGGCGGCTGTTCTCCTCACATCCTTCCCCCAAGGTCGGCTGGCTCATGACCTTCCTTCCTTCCCACCACGGTGCCCCTTCCCCTTCAGACTGTGCCTCTCAGTGGGCTGAGCTAGCACCCCCACACCCCTGTTCATCCCTTCACAGAGCCAGGACTCACGCCGGCGTCTGAAGCCAGCACCCCAGGGCAGGACACTTGCTTGGCTGGCTGAGCAAGTCTCTTCAACTTTGGTGTGTCATCTCCTCAACACGGGCTATGAGGAGAGTCCCTGTGCCCTGGCCACGGCGGCGCCTGCTGCCCACCCTCCGGTCCCCACCTGAGTGTCCTCGGTGAGCACCCACCACCCTCTACAGGAAAGAATGCATTGTCTAGTTGATCAGGGTCTTGAGCCGGGGTTGATAAATGCAAGGCCAGCCCCCTGCCCACTATACTACTGCTCCAGGCCCACCCCCGTTGTTTCCTGGGGGGTGGGTGGGGCGGACTCAGCAGTGCTCAGGGCCTACTCCTGGCTCTGTGCTCAGGGATCACTCCTGGCAGGGCTAAGGGAGCCAGATGAGCCGCTGTTTGACCTCTCCAGCTCCCAGGGTTCCTGTTCTGGGGGCCAGTCACTGCTGTAACTCAGGCCAGCCCAACGCCCGGCAGAGGAAGTGTGGGCCTCCTCTCCGCCCACTGAGGCGGGAACGTGAGCTAGAGCCAGGCCAGTGGCCACTGCGCTGCGGGAAGGGGCTGGGGTGAGGGGAGCTTGAACCTTGGTCACAGGGAAGCCAGCTGGTCCCTCCAGAACCAGCTTTAGCAGAAAGGCCTGTTCCCAGCAGCTGCGTTCCAAAGAATGGAGAGTTCAGCGGGCAGGGCAGGGGGCAGCCTCTGCCTGGGGTCGTGGGGGGAGGCAGCGGCACCTACCTGCTAAAGATGTCCCCGGAGACCTTCTGGAGGTCCTGCAGGGCATCGGCTATCTGCTGGACGGCCTCCTCCCGCCGCAGGTCGGGCTGAATGAGGGGCACTGCATAGGTCTGACCTGCCAAGGAGCTCTGCATCCTCACGGAAGTCATGGTGCCTGCGGGCAGGAAGTGGGCCATCAGGTACCCGCGCACCCACCCCCTCCCCACTCGGCAGGCACAACCCTGGGGCCAGGCAGACCCCCACCCGGGAACAGCCCCTGTGGTTGCGCGGGAGGGACCCGAGCACTTGGTAGGAGGTCAGGAGCTGGTGCTTGCTGAGTAGAGCAGTGGGGAGAGACTGAGGAGAGGGTTCCTAGGTAGAGACGCAGCAGCGGCCCGGGGAGGCGCTCAGTTCCCCGCTAGGCACCTGCATGGACCTAGAGGAACAAAGCAAGCCTGGCTGCGGAGTGAAAAAGGGGATCCAGAACACAGGAACAGACTTGGGGAGGGTATGGCCGGGGTGGGACAGGTGGAAACCACAGGGAAGGGGATTCCTGGGGTATCTCGCCTGGACCCCCAGGAACTCCCAGCTGCTCCTGGAGCAGGGAGGCCGGGGACTCCAGGCCCCAGGGTGCCCAGGATCTGCTCTTCCAGGTGACAGCGGAGGGGTGCCCCGGCAGGAAGGGAGGAGCATGTGGGAGGCAGGGGGGTAGCAGGAAGAAAAAGTACTCCTTTGCATTGCAAGGCGAGGACAGAGTCTATTTATACTGGGTTTAATTAACTCCACTCCCTGGTGCCACTAAAGCAGCAATCACACTGCAGACAGGACTGATTTTGATGTAGGCAGGTAGATAGGGAAAGGCCCTTTGCAATGGAAGAAGAATTCTAGGAATGACCCAACTTGTGGATACAGAAAACAAAGGCCTGATAAGACCATCCGCAGACCCTCAGGATATAGGCCTCCCCATGAAATTCCTCTTTTTGGACCTCCCTGGTAACCTCCTTAGCAACGAACTTTTACCTGGAAAGAAGCCCCACGTGGGGGCAGGTTGGAGAAACCCTATAAAGGCCACCTGGAACAAAGGAAGGGCGCGCATATGCTGCCTGAGCCCATGTGTGCTTACGTCCACGTGGCTGAGCACATGTGGTGCCCCAGCACATGTGTCGCCCGCATCTCCCCTCTTGAGATGTGTACTTTCATGCTTTCGTGTCTAACTTTACTCTCTCACTCTCTCTCCCTCCCGCCATACCTAAAAATCCTCCAAATAAAATCTATTTACTTCACTGCTTGTCTACTCCTGAAATTCCTTTCTGCGAGGCGAGACAAGAACCCAGCAACCCTGGGTCCCAAGTGGCAGAGGCGGGTGGGGAGAAAGTGACTGTCTTTCTCCTCCCCGCTTCACATAAGTCACCCGTGGGGCCCACCGACATCAATTTGATTGGCAAGAGATGCGCCAGGCAGAATATTAAGGTATCAGTATCAGTCCCTATAAATAGGCCTAGTCACAGCCCCTCCATAGAAGACGGCAACGAAGGCAGTAATCAGGCCTGGCACTGTGCCCCAGACTTGTTCTTTGAGGCACCATGTTGGGGTCTCTGGCTGCAATGGGGGGGGGTGTAGGTGATGGTGGGTAAGACTGGCAGCAAGGACAGGGGTTTCGCTTGGGCTTCTAGTGCTGTGTGACCTTGAGTGAGTTAGCGGTCTACTCTGAGTCTCTTTGGTTCTTTCCATTCCCCACGCTGCAGGCAGAAAATGGCCAAGCTCGCAAAGAAGGGGTCATTTCCCGTGTCTCACACCCGGAGCTCACTGCTCCCCCTGCTGGTTCCCTCGCCCCACTTCTGCCTGCCCAGTCTCTCCTAGCCGGCACTTCTCATGACCAGCAGTGCCCACTCTGATCTTCAACTTTTTCCTCTCACAGAGACGTCTCAGTTCCCAATCGGAAGCTGCTCGGATCCTCCTCAGGCCCAGGATGTTACTCAACATCCCGCTTTTCCCTTCCTACTCACATGACCACCATGGGGCCAGCGGATCCCTGGGAAACTAACCCTCAGAGATGGGCACTCCCTGAAGAGCCCCCGCCCTGCCTCGCTCTTCCAGTCCATGTTCTCCCCTGAACATGCATCTCGCTAGCTTGCCTTTAAGTTTCTTGGCTTGCCTAGTTCTATTCTGGATGCTTGCCTGGTTTTACTCCGGAGAAACCCATGTCTTTTCTCTCTCTCTCTCTCTCTCTCTCTCTCTCTCTCTCTCTCTCTCTCTCTCTCTCTCTCTCTCTCCCCCACCCTCACAGTTCAATAAAAACTATCTCACTTCACACAAAAAACGAATCCTCAGCCTTGGGGCCAAAGAGATAGTATACTTGGTAGGACACTTGCCTTGCACGTGGCTGTCACAAGTTTGACCCCTGGCACCCCATATGGTCCCCAAGAGTGACCCCTGAGCATTGTCAGGTCTGTCCCCAAAACAAACAAACAAACAAACAAAAAGGGCTGGATAGTACAGCAGGAAAGTCGTCTGCCTTGCAAATGGCTGACTTAGGTTTAATCTCTAGCATCCCATAAGGTCTCCTGAGCACCACCAGGAGTGATTCCTGAGTGCAGAGCCAGGAGTAATCCACAAGCAACACCAGGTGTGACCCCCCAAACAAAAAACAAAACAACAAAAGAATCCTCAGCTTTGGGGAAGGTGTGTGTGTGTGGGGGGGGGGGGGGGAGTTGCGGTTTACAGAAGCCGGTGCTTAGCTTAGAGGTCAGTGCTAATGGTGCTTGAGGAACCATGTGGCTTCGAACCAAGGTCAGCCATATACAAGATATGCGCCTTAACCTGGCACTCACTCTCTGGACTCCTAGAATAATCTGCCATTTTTTTTTTTTTTGGCGCTTATACTGATGACAGCCTGCTGGCCATGCTGGCCTAGCTCTCTGTCTCATTCCTCCCACCTGTAAGATCAAGAGAGGGCAATAGGCAAGAGAGCGTTTCCCAGCACACCCTGAGTTAGTGTTCTCATGGTTAATGACCACACCTCTATATGTGGGTGGGCACAAGGAGGTAGTTTAGGCTCCTGACAAAGGAAGCCACCGTCCACTCAAGAATTCGTTGCAGCACTCTTTACAATAGACAGAATCTGGAAAAAACCTGAGTGTCCGAGAACAGATGTCCGGTTAAAGAAACTTTGGTACATTTACACAATGGAGTACTATGTAGCTGTTAGAAAAGATGAAGTCATGAAATTTACATACAAGTGGTACTACATGGAAAGTATCATGCTAAATGAAATAAGTCAGAAAGAGAGGGATGGACATAGAAAGATTGCATTCATCTGGGGAACATAAAGTAACAAAATAGGAGACTAACACCCAAGAATGACTGAGATTAGTACCAGGAATTCTGCTCCATGGCTTGAAGGCCAGTCACACGTTGTAGGGGGAAAGGGAGCTCAGATAGAGAAGGGAGCACCAAATAAAGGGTGTTGGGAGGATCCTCCCAGGATGGGAGAAGCATGCTGAAAGTAGACTATAGACCAAACATGATTGCCACTCAATGCCTCTCTTGCAAACCACAGGACCCAAAAGGAGAGAGCGAGAACAAAAGGGAATGCCCTGCCACAGAGGCAGGGTGGGATGGGGGGGAGGGGGGTGGAAGGGATATTGGGATCTGTGGTGGTGGGAAATGGGCACTGGTGGAGGGATGGGTATTTGATCATTATATAATTGAAACCCAAGCACAAAATTTGTAAGTCTACAACTGTACCTCATGGTGTCTCACTGATAAAAATTAAAAAGAATTCATAGTGAGTGGGTGGCGGGAGAGTGTGAGAGCAGTAAGACAGCAGGTGGGGCATTTGCCTTGCCAGAGGCCAACCTAGGTTCCATCCCAGGTACCCCGTATGCTTCCCTGAGCCCGCTGATGTAGGCAGGCAGGCAGACAGGGAAGGCCCCTCCCAAGGCAATGGCAGTAAATTTCCTGGGAAGTAATAGCCCTGAAGTTGGGAAACCAATCTTGCAGAAAACAGGAACTAAGGCCTGATAAGACCCTGACCTGGCGGTAGCAACAGACCCAGAGAAGGCTGGACCCCCCTCTTCCAGAGAAGCTCCAGCAGGAACAAAAGGCCGGGAAAGGAATTGCAGAGAAGACCATCACCACTCCCAACCCTAGTCCTTAGCAACAGACTTTGTCTCCGTAGAAGCCCCACGGGGGGGGGGGGGGGGGGGGGGGGGGGGGGGGGGTGTTGGAAACCCCTTCTAAAAGCCTGGACTGAAGGGAGCGCAGAAGCTGAGAAGCTGCCCAAGCCCATGTGCTGCTCAGGCCCATGTGGCTGAGCACATGTGTCGCCCGCATCTCCAGTCTTGAGACGTGGACTTCCATGCTCTCCTATCTAATGCTGGGATGTGGGATGTGTGTAGGGGCTCTCTCCACCCTTGGGAAGCCGAGTTCTCCCTTGAGCCTCTCTCTCTCTCTCTCTCTCTCTCTCTCTCTCTCTCTCTCTCTCTCTCTCTCTCTCTCTCCCCCCTTCTCTCCCTCCCTCTCCTCTCTCTCTCCCTCCCTCTCCACATCACAGCTTCAAAACTTCCAGATAAAATCTGTGTGACCGTCTTTCTCCTTCCCGCTTCACATAAGTCACCAGTGGGGCCCAACTGATATCCCTGCCAGGAGAGATGCCTGAGCACAGAACCAAGAGTCAGCCCTGAGCATAGCCAGCCGATGTGGCCCCCAAACAGAACAGAACAACAAGCACTCAGAGCCGGGTCTCCGTGATAATGCAGGGATGAACTGGGCACTCTGCTAGCTCTGGAGCCGGCGCTGGAAAGAAACATCAGGTGACCAGCGGGGGAACCCAGCTGGGGAGAGTGCGGAGCAAGGCGTGGCGGCCGGGACGCGCGCTGGGCGCCCTGCAGGCCCCGGGCAGCACCGCATCTCCGGGCAAACTGCGGGAAGGGAGCCAAGAAAGGCCAGACCCTAAAAGCCCCCGGCGGGGCTGGTCCAGCCGGCGGGACCCCCGTTCCCCTACGGGCCCGGGGCGCTGGGAACGGGCCGGGCCGGGAGAAGATGCGAGCGGGGGATGCGGGGGCCTCGTACTGGGGGGCTAGTGAGACGCCGCCGACACGGGGGGACGCGACGGGGTGGCTGCGCCGGGGATGCCGAGGTTCGAGCCCCTCTAGCCCGCGACCAGTCGCATT